GGAAGTGTATCCATCATTTTCTGGAGGTGAAAAGAATATTTGAATAGCGTGTTGGAGATATAAATAAGCCAGGTATGTAGTGTTTAAAGACTGTTACTGATATTTTATCTCACCAGTCATACATTCTTCTTTGAGATTATTGTTGCGAATTATTTTTATATTGAATATATTCAATGTTTTTGCTTTGTAGGATGTATGATGGCACAAACACAATTCCATACCAAAAATCAGACATCGCCATCAGGCATCATCGGTGTAAAAAAACATTATAAATTAGCTAGCTTTTTTGTCCTATCTTCTTTTCGTTTTTGCTTTCTCACCATTTACTCTCGTCTTTTTTTTATTTTTATTTTTTTTGACTTTATTATAATTATATATTTCAATAAAAATGAACCTTGAAAATATACTGTTCTTTACTTTCTGAAAATAATATCAAACATTTCCAATACGCATGAGCAAGGTCTCATTGTGTGTCTAAGCCCAAAAACACATACTCAATTTATTATAAGTTTCATTAAATGTGATGGTGTAAGGTTCGACAAAATAACTAATAGACACCATTAAGTAAAATCTTAATTCAAACTTATATTAAGCTTTCTTACTCAGAAGAGCAAATAATTTTCATAAAATTAACTCATTCAAATTGTTTTTTCAATAATTATGAAAAGTCAATATTTCTTTTTAAGAATTTATTCTGCAGTGTTCAACTAGAAATTAAATAAAGAAAAACAAAAATAATCAGTTTCTCTTTTACTCTGTATGGTGTATCATTATTGTGTTATAATCTCTTTCAATCGTTCTCAATCGCACATGTCTTCGTTTTCGAAGGACGTCCACCGTTGCAAGCTAATAATGAAAGCAACCAAGCATTACTTAATATATACATTTCTTACTCTACGGTACACGTGTTCGAACGAAAGAAAAAAAAAGAAAGAAGCCTCAGACTTTTTTTTTGTTTAAAATAAAAAAGGTATTCGATCAATTCAAAAATATTTTAAATTAAAAATTATAGTAGAATATAATATTTATTTTATAAATAGTTAAAGGAAAACAAAATTTTTGCTTGTAAACAAAGTTGTGATTTTATTTAGATTTGAAAGTATAACAAGTGAGGATAAGAAGAAGAAAAACATTAAAATAAATTTATCTAATGCAGCATGTTTGACCGATATGGATGAATAATTTTTACGTTCGCTTGGGTATTAATAGTTTGATACATTTATAACTTCATTGGATTGTTATACATGTGCATTATTTCAAGGTCAGTTTAACAACTCAATAAAATTGTTGAATTAATCTTAAAGAATTGAATAACCTATATCGATAGTAACTTCTAGATTATTAATCAATATAATTGAAACTTATTTTATTATTTCATCGACTATATAGTCAGAACAGTTTTGCCAGAAAGATATTTCTTATTTATTAGAATCGAGATTTAAATAATAACACTTTTATTTAAAGAATTTTTTAATATAGAAGTTCGATATTTAAAGAGGAACAATCAGCTATAAAATATATAATTTCATTTATGCATCAGAGAAAATATCATATCGATGTATTCTAATTAATCAGCTCAAATTTCTCGATGTGATAATAAAAACTTTAAAATTATATTTCATTACTTTTAGATAGCAATTTATTCTTTTCTATGTTTTAGCAAATCATAATTCGTGAAGAAGATTATGACAAAGCAAATATTGTTTAGCTATTGGTAATTAACGTGCTTGACAAGCTCTATTTAATTATATTATTTATTTATACACTTAAGTAAATAAATTCTTTCAAATAAAATATTTTAGATTTTTTTTTGTTTGTTTTTTATTTAGTCAAATGAAGTTTTATCATATTCTGGTATGTCAACAATTAGTATATATTTATTAAATTTATTAAACAGCTAATAACTAGTTGGCTTAGTACAATACCTCATTTTAATATAAACAATATTGGAGAAATAAAAACTATTGATTAATGTCGCATATTACATATACATTTACAGCAGATTGTTTTCCATTTAAAAGTATAGAACTTCATAAAAAGTACACAAGAATATCAAGATCATATATTTGAAAATGAAATTCTTTTATTAATAAGTCGTTATATTGTTAAATTAAATTTACGTAATTATTTTTATTCAATATTTTTTGGAAAAAATCCATCGTTTCTTTTTGAACACCGTTTAAATGCATTATAAAAATTTATATTTAAAAACTTCAATATCAGTTAGAAAAGGTACATTAAAAGAATTTTATAATAAATGTATAAATGTCATTATTTGTTATTGATTAAGTTAATACTGAACTTGATTTAACATTATCACATCAGTTTTAATTAATAAAATTTCTACATATCGTCTTATTGGTCCTATGTATACAACATTAAATTAACATGATGTTTTTGGTTTAAATTCTTCAATTACAAAAACATTTTGTGAAATAGTCAAAATAAGGAGAAGAGAAAAGAAATATTAAATATTAAAATTAGTTCAACAATGTATGGAGAAGTATTGACTAAATATATTATAAAACGTGCTCAAGCACAATTTATTGATGGAAAAATAATTAAATCAATTAAATACGTTTGTTTAATTATCTTATTTTAGTTTTAATTTGTATACAAACAGTAGTAAAACTTTATAAAGCTTTTATTTTTGATGCAAATATATCAAAGGTATAATAAAAACATTTTAAAATTTTAATAAGACTTAAACATTATTAGTTATCGTAAGAAGAGATAAGAATTATATGAAAGGACTGTTTTACAGATGTTGTAACATATCAATGCAGTCATTAATTTTCTATTTACATATCTTTTTGAATTTTGTGATTTAATTCTTGTATATGCAGGTATTATCTTCACAAATATTTTTTATTTCTATGAAATATTAGTTTAATATTCATAAAGTCGTTTGAAACTGTTTACATATTTCTTTGAATATTAACACATGAATATCTGAAAAAATCTAATCGATTCTGATCGAAAATATACATTTCCTCTTGAACTCGAACGTTATTATAGAAAAGATAAGTGTACATTATTAAATATTCTTAGTAAAAAATTTTCACATTATCAAATTCTGATAATCAACAACATTTATCTATTCCACCACGTTATTTATCATCTTACTATTTATTTGATAGTAGTGTAATTGATAAATTAACTGTGTTCGATTTTACATCAACTGCTGTTAGTCAACAACCAAAATGATTTAAATAAAAGTCAATCAAAGTTTCTTCCTGAAAATTTCTCTATATGGAAGAGATGATGAAATAAATAAAGAATATTCAATACAAACAATAACGTCACAAGATAGTGTTTTTAACATTTCAACAGCAACATCGTATATTAGGACGATTGTCTATACTTGAATTAGAAATATCTGGACAATATACAAGTAGAAAAAAGTCATTACATGAACATCATGTTACAATAATTGGCTTTGATAAATAGATTTTGGTACTTCAATCATTAAGATTACTAAAACGTTTGTGAAAATGATCCGAATGGTAATCAATTCAAGGCAATATGAAAAATTTCGATTTAGAATTCGTCATAATTTGCCAAAGCTCATGAAACATTCTAATCATCTGTAAAGAATATAAAATATCTCTTTATTAATTTGTAATCATTGTAAATATGTTCTCTAGCTGCTCATGAATGTTCTTTTTCGTAATGACATAATTTTGTTAACTATTGCTATCTTGTATAATTATTAGATTATATTCTGGTGTATAAATAGTCTTTAGAAATCGATCAAACAATCTAACTACCTTGGTTCATTTTTTGATAGATGTAATAAAATTTGATGTATTTTCTATGAACATCTAATCTTTCTTAACTCTAAATATTTAAAATAAATAGAGTTGAAGTAACTGTACAGAAAATATTCACTCTATAACAGAAGAATAGACGGCATATTGTTTAGCAATTAAATGTGACCACATTTTTCGAGTAGTTAATAATGAACAGCATAGATAATGGACAGTTAGGTAATGTTACTGAATTCCACTGGCGAAGATTGAGACTTTTATTCAAGAAAAAATTTTCCGCTCATAAGACAAATATATTAATACAAACAAAAGAGATAAATTATCAAAAATTGCGAATAATGATGATAAAAGAATAAAAATAACTATTGAGAAATATTTTAGCAAAAACTCAATATAATTTACAATAAAATTCGAAGGTTGCAAACATAAACAAAATGTTGAAAAATAATTTCATTTCTTTCGTTTATTTAATATTAAGAAATTTTTTTTAATCAAAATAAATACTCTTGCTACAATAAAAATCAAATTTCTTTGTTTGAATAAATTCTTACTCATACATTTTGTCACATAAGTTAGTGTCCTCTATGCTACTCAATCAAAATCATTTCTTACTAAACAACACATACTATATAATTTCCTCCGTAAAAAAAAGCAGCAATTTTATCTTACTTGTTGGAAAATACCCAGTAAAACGTTCTGCACATAGATAAATACTCAATTGATATACAGGTAACACTGTCATTATTTTTTATGATTATTTTTTCTATTTTTTTATTAGGATATTATTTTGTAAATTAAAATAAATCGAATTTTCAAATCAGCTGTTTTAACAAGAAAACATTTTAACAGGTAAATAATTGATCCAATCATAAAAATATGTCTATCCTTTTCAAAAATGTTCTCTTTAACACATAAATGCATTAAAGAAAACGTCTTACCAATCAGATAATCATGTTGACCATTTGTCCGCCAGTTGTCGCTAGTACTTCCGCTTTGTGCTGAAAGTTATGCATGCTCGATCGATCGGGCGTATGTATGGGAACGTTCGGAATAAAGATTTATAATAAATATATGTTTATAATAGAAATTAAATTAAATTTTCTCAGATTTTTAATGAATTTCATCAATGAAAAATTCTAACTATATATTCTCTATAGATTATCGGCGTTTGTTATATCATTGAAGTAGTTTTACAAGAAAAAAGTAAACATCTGTATATAACGATGGATGATGGCTGACTTTGTTGGTGTACAACAACCGCCGACAAAAAAGTTTCGTTCGGGTACAAATTCAAACGAATCAGGTACACGCAAAAAAAAAATTTAAAATTATTTGTTCAATAAATCTTTTTTTTTTTTGTTCAATTAAGATTTTGATTATAAAATGATTTCACAATATGATACACCCGATACAAATAATACTCAAGATCTATTCGATATTGGAAATGATTTCAATGATACACTTGAGAATACCCAACAACAAACATCAGTGTCAATACAACCAACAGTACCATCATCTTCAAGTCCAATATTAAATCAACAACAATCAGCAACTATTTATCAACAACAACAACAAACACAACCTCGACTTACTTATATATCACAAACACGACCACAATTATCAACATATCAAACACCAAATCTACAACGTATACAAACAATGGCACCAACACCAACAATTATTCGACCATCAAATGTTATATCAAATGGTATACAACAACAGCAATCAACAATTTATACTCCACAACAAATGATTAATTCATCAGGTGGATTGAATCGACCATTATATCAACGTATGCCAACAACAATACAACAACCAAATATGCCATCAACAATTATTCGACAACAATACAATACAACAGGAATGATCAATATAAATCAAAATGTACCACAAATGAGTATTGTTAAAGTAAGGAAAATAAAATCGAGATAGTCACAAATAACTTCTTTTTATCTTGTTTAGACAAGTGATCCAAATAATAATAATGTATTTGTTACAAATTCTCAACAACAACAACAGTCGACATTGCTCGGTTTTCAACAAACAGTGACACAAACACCAACAGTTCAAACAAATAAAACAATATCGACTGTTTTACCTTCAATAACATCACAACAATTAAATCAATTTCAAATTCAACAACAACAGGTGCAGCAGCAACAACAACAAATTCATATGCAACAACAAAATAATGTTCAATCCTATGGTACAATACCAATAAGAGTATGTACAAAGAATCTATTTAATTATTAATTATTTCTTTCTATTAGACTCAAATGTTGGATCAAACACCAACAAATTATATTGTAACTACTCAACAACAACAACAACTGCAGCAGCAGCAGCAGCAGCAGCAGCAACAACAACAACAGTCAACTAATATGCTTGTTCAACAATCTCAGCAAGCAACTAATAATCCATCACAACATACAGAAATTCAACGAAAACAATTTATTCAAAAACAACTTGTTTTACTATTACATGCACATAAATGTCAACAACGTGAGAAACAAACAATTAATGGCGAAACAGCACGTCCAAATACTTGTGCATTACCACATTGTAATACAATGAAAACGGTTCTACAACATATGACAAAATGTAATGATCATAAAACATGTACTGTACCACATTGTGTTACATCTCGACAAATTATTTTACATTGGAAACAATGTAATAATCCTCAATGTCCAATTTGTCAACCACTCAAAGCACCATCAGCATTAGCAAAATTAAATCAACAAACAGCAACAACACTATCAACAGCAACGATAGCAAATTCAACAGGAATATCTTCGACTAATCTTAATACAAATTCTACATCAAATTCGAATGAACGACCAATAAATAAAGATTGGCAAAGACGTGTTACAGCCGAAATGCGTAATCATCTTGTACAAAAAATCATAACTGCACTTATACCTATAACTGATACAGGAGCTGTACGTGATAAACGTATTATTAATTTAGCTAATTATGCTCGACGTGTTGAAAATGAAACATTTGAAGTTGCAACTAATCAAGAAGAATATTTTCATAAATTAGCTGAAAAAATTTATAAAATTCAAAAAGAATTAGAAGATCGTCGAGAGAAAAAACGTTTACAAGATATGCAATTAGCAGCACAAATATCTTCAACAACAGGACAAATATCATCTACAAATGATTATAATGGTAAAATACATTCAACTATTGATGCAATGGCCGGTGATCATGGTCCACCAAATCGTACAGCACCTCCAAGTGATTATGCATCATCATCATCATCATCTTCATTACCTGAAAATGTACTTCATCATCCATTAACAACAGTAACAAATTCTAATCGAACACAATTAAATGGTACAACAAATTCGATACCTGGAACATTTACAATAACAAACGTACCACCAAATGAAAATTTAAATTATCTATTAAATGGTGATCCAACAACTACAACTCAACCACATGATATTGATATGATCGATGCAACAAATCAAATAAAAGCTGAATTAATGTCACCGAAAAATTCTTTTCAAGTTTGTTTCTTATTTATTTTTTTTCTATTTTCTATTTTATTGTTTTTGTCTTTTTATTTAGTCATCGACATACTCAGTGATTAAAAAAGAAGAAACGATAAATAATGATCTTTTACATTCAACAGTTATGATTAAATCTGAAGCAACCATTAGTGAAGATATTAAACCTAAATTACCACAAATTGATTCAACTAGTAAACAGTTACCTAAACATCCAGTACAATTTACATCTGAAGAATTACGTACAAATCTTGAACCAGTTATACATAAAATGATTGCTTGTGAAGAATCACATCCATTTCGTCAACCTGTTGATCCTGTTGCATTGAATATACTTGATTATCCAACATTTATTAAACATCCAATGGATATATCAACAATGCATAATAAATTATTACAAGGTCAATATAAAAATCCATTACAATTTTGTGATGATGCTTGGTTAATGTTCAATAATGCTTGGCTTTACAATAAGAAAACAACTAAAGTTTATAAAATGTGTACAAAAGTAAATATTTTATATTATTATGCTATAAAATATCAAATATTTAATTATAATTTTTCTATTTCTAGCTTTCTGAAGTATTTTCGGATGCAATTGATTCTGTAATGCAAGCATTAGGATATTGTTGTGGTCGTCAATATGTTTACTTACCACAAGTCATGTTTTGTTATGGTAATCAACTATGTTGTCAAATTCCACGTGATGGTAATTATTATTATTATAACAATCCGGAACCGTCTCGTTTTAATTTATCCGGTGATAAATATACATTTTGTTCAAAATGTTTTGATTCAGTTAAAAATGAATCAATCTATGTCGGTGATGATCCAGCTCAAACATTAGTTGAATTACCAAAAAATTTATTTATCGCAGCTAAAAATGATATTCAAGAACCAGAAGCCATAGTTGATTGTATTGTTTGTACACGTCGTTGGCATCAAGTATGTGCATTACATATAGATCAAATATGGCCAGAAGGTTTCATATGTAAAACATGTATAACTGATTATAATATAAAACGTAAAGATAATCGTTTTACATCGTTTAAATTAATTGAAACAGATTTAGCACGCGTATTAGAAAAACGTGTTAATGATTTTTTACGCAATGAAGGTTGTCAAACTGGCCGTGTATCAATACGTATATTAGCTGCGAGTGATAAAGTATGTGAAGTAAAACCACGTTTAAAAAAATATTATCAAAATCAAGTACCAGACGGTTATCCATATCGAACAAAAGCTGTATTTGCATTTCAAGAAATTGAAGGTGCTGATGTAGTCTTATTTGGTATGCATGTACAAGAATATGATGGCCGTTGTCATGCACCAAATACTCGACGTGTTTATGTATCATATTTGGATTCAGTACATTTTTTTCGACCGAAACAATATCGTACAGATGTTTATCATGAAATATTAATTGGATATTTGGATTATGCAAAAAAACTTGGTTATGTATATGCACATATATGGGCTTGTCCACCAAGTGAAGGAGATGATTATATATTTCATTGTCATCCCTATGAACAACGTGTACCAAAACCAAAGCGTTTACAAGATTGGTATAAAAAAATGTTAGATAGAGCAATTTTAGAACGCGTTGTTATTGATTATAAAGTATGAAAAATTTTTAAGAAGACATTTTTGAATGATTATTGATTTTCTCTTTAGGATATTATGAAAGATTGTCAAGATAATCAAGTACAAAATGCATTGAATATTCCATATTTTGAAGGTGATTTTTGGTCGAATATTATAGAAGAAAGTATTAAAGGTAAATTATTAATATTTGTATTATATAAATTGAATTAAATATAATTATATTTAGAACTTGATCAAGAAGAAGAAGATCGAAGGAAACAAGAAATGGAAGCAGCAAGAGCGATAGATGATGGAGGTTTTGATGATCCTATCGAACCTGAAGATCCAACAGATGTAAATGAAATAAAACAAGAAATTTAATTGTTAAATATTTTTTTCAAATTTTAGATGTCGGATAAACGTAAATCTGCTAATACGCATAAGAAGAAAAATTTGAAGAAAACAACAGCTAGTCAAAGAAAAGTGGCAAAGAAACAAATGTCAAATTGTACGGATTTATTGTCAAAAATATTTTCTACAATGGAAAAACATAAAGAAGTAAATTCGTTTATTTTTAATATTAAAATATATAAAAATTATTTTTAGGCATTCTTTGTTATTCGTTTACGTAATCCTATTGCATCATGTCCAGCTGTAAATGATACTGATGTTTTAATTCAATGTGATTTAATGGATACACGTGATGCTTTTCTAAATTTTGCTCGTGATAAACATTATGAATTTTCTTCGTTACGTCGTGCAAAATTTTCTACTCTGGCATTATTATATGAATTACATACATCCACAACAGATAAATTTACTTATAATTGTAATACATGCCGTCAACAATGTGACGTACGTTATCATTGTACAGTATGTGATGATTTTGATTTATGTTCGAAATGTTATAATACTGAACCGCGACATGAACATAAAATGGAACGTTCAGTACCATCTATAGTTGATGTTAGTCATGATGGTGATCATAATGCATTAAATAGTAATGATAAATCTTTAGCAAGTCCACAATTACAGCGACAACAATCGATGCAACGTTGTATTGAAGCATTATTACATGCTGTTAATTGTCGTAATGCTAATTGTCTTAATCGTAGTTGTTCACGTTATAAACGTGTTATACAACATACAAAAGAATGCAAAGGAAAAAATAGTCAATGTAATATATGCAAACAAGTTATATTTCTTTGTTGGTATCATGCGAAAAGTTGTATGGAACAAAATTGTCAAGTACCATTTTGTACGAATTTAAAAACTAAAATACAAAAACAACGTGCAACTAGCTTGCAAACAGATAGACGTCGTATGCAAGCTATGATGCAACAAAGAACGAACACAATGCAAACATCACAGCAAACGCAACAACAGTCACAACCAGGTAAGATATTCTTTTAAATTAAATAATAAGATTTATAATGTCATTAATGTTTTCACATGATTAATTATGATAAATTTTAGTATCAACTAGCACATCTATACCATCGAATTCGTTTGATTCATCTGGTAAACCAGCACCAGTCACATTAATCCGTGCACCACAACAAGGTGTATGGCCAAATCAAACATTTATAACAGTAGCACAAAAACCAAATACTGGTAAACCAATACAACAAACATCCAATCAATTAAGTGTATTAATTGGACGTGTTAAACAAGATCCATCTATAGATGATCAACAACAACAACAACAACGTTCAGATATCAATGATTCCAAACAACTAATCTATCAATCACTAATGAATAAAACTCCTGTAAATCGTTTGCCATCATCATCAGCAACAACAACAACCACAACATTTATTCAACAAGCAAATCAACCACAACAATGGCATACGTCAGTCTCACAATCACAATTGAATCAACCTCCTAATTATACTACGGCAACACGTCCTCGACATCCAACTATAATTCAACAACAAGGATCAAATCATCCAACATCACATACACTACTAGCACCATTAAGAGCAAATTCTTCAACACCGCCGCCACCAACTTATTTGGCACGAACAGGTTCAACACCAAATCTAACACGAATACCATTAAATGTAACATTAACAAGACCATCTCAATTTTCATCTCAACAACAACAACCACAAGATCCATCTCCACGCTAATGAATATTTTCTTTGTACATGTATTTTTTTTTGCGTTTATCCTCTTCTGTCTTTTTTACGTCTATCTTTGATACACACTATTAACCTCCGTTCAAACATACATTTTTCTCTATGTTTTTGCTCGTGTATATGTGTCCGTTCGTTTGTTCGTCTTACTATATCATCAACACACACATATAAGAAAATAAAACTTGTTACATGCTGAGAACGGGAACGATTTTATTTTTCTGCTTAGGAAATAGAACCTGCGTGCGTATGTATATAGATTTGAGATACACACACACACTCTCACACACACACACACATACATATATAAATATATATTGAGAACATGCGCTCGGTTCTTTTCTGTTTTCTTCTCTCTTTTTTTACTTTTTGTTTTGTGTGTGTTTCGTTGTTGTTTGTGGCGTGCTTTGCTCTTTCTCGTTCCTTTTTACATGAAGAAAAAGAAACTAAATAAAAAGAACTGTGTGTATGATGTCGGTTTTGGTTTTTGTTTGTTTGTTTTTCTTTCATTGTCATTTTTTTTCTCCCATGAACATTTTTGGTTTTGTTGTTGTTCTTCTTTCTCAACTAACAAAGTTGATCTTCTTTTTTTTCTCTTTCTCGTTTTTTTTTTGATATGTGAATAATAAAAAAACATAAGAAGATGAGAGATATTTGTCGAAATGGAAAGAGAGATGATTTTATTTCATTGTGTTATCATATAGTTGTAGAAAAAAAAAAACACCAAAATCTATCAGAAGAAATGAATTCCGAAGATGATTATAGTAACAATGATGAAGATGGTGAGTTTTCTATATTTAATTAAGATATATTCAGTCTTTATATTTTCTTATTAGAAATTGATGATGAAAGTATTACAAGTGAAGATGATAATGTTGATGAAGATGAATCATCTATACAAATGGAAGAAGAATCAACAGATCAACAGAATTCAAAACTTAATACAGATAAACAAAAAGCTGATGTTTTGAAGAAACAAATTGGTTAGTTTAGTTTACTCTTTATAAACTTTTAACTTTTTAGGATTAGAAAAAATTCTATTCTCTTTTAGACTAGTGAATAATATTGATTTTTATTTATATTAATAAGAAAAAAAAAGAAGTTTGATTCTACATTAAATTATGAAATAAATAAATATTAAGCATCCATTTTAAGTTTAATACATTTATTTTGTATATCTTTTCGTTTAGCTTGAAGTTTAATAAGTGATTCAACAGGAGTTGTTTGTCTTAATAAAATATTTGGTTTAATAGCATCTTGTCTTAAATCAGAAATTTTTGAAAATTTTTGTAAGAAACATTTTGCTTCTGATACTCCTAATGTTGATACATCCTTTTGAAGACATATTTTACTACATAATAAGTTGTTTTTCTTATCAACTAATTCAAATTCAATAGCTTCGCCAAGTCGAAAAGCCATTTCACTATGATCATTGATTTTTTCATTGATTATTTTTGAATTTTCTTGAATAAATGCTTGTTTAACACGAATTTTAACATTACAATCTTTAGCATATTTTGATAATTTAAGAAGTATTGGATGAAATGTATCTTTATTTGTATAGAGTTTCACACCAGTAAATGATGAATCTTTTGGATTGTATAATTTTATTGGGGGACATTCATCTTTATTTGATGAAAACGGCCACAAGGCGAATGAACTGGTTACAATTGATAAAATAACAAGGATAAACAGAAAGATTTGCATGTTTGAAATAGAATAAATTATGTAATATGATTAAAATATATATGTGTAACTAACTTTTATATAGGGAAAAGAAAACAAAGAAACATCGAACACGTCGTGTTCTTCTTCGATACATTGTTAATAAAAGTTATACCTAGATTTGTTTGTTCTCTTTAGCTTTATGGGATTCATTTCTTGAATTACGTATTAAACTTCAACGTGCAACAATAACTTGTAATTGTTTACCAACAACGACAATAATACCCGATGATGATGATGATGATACTGAATTACGTGATGTGATCGATGAAAGTAAAACAATAATGAAAATTGTATTTTAATATGATTGTGTTTTTAAGATACAAAATTGTTTCGTAAAACATTGGCATTACTTCTTGCAATTGAAAATCGTCGTTCAGCTAAACGAGTACGTGAAAATGACGATGATGATAATAACAATAATAATGAAACAACAGAAGTTTTTAAAACATTATCAAAACGTTTTAAAAATAATGAACAAGCTATTGATGAAGAACTGAGTAAAAGTTATACACAATTTACACCCGAAAGGTAAATCATTGAAAACCTTCTTTTTTCAAAAATTTTATAATAGAATTTTAATTAATTAGAGATACTGTTATACAAAAATGGTTTGAACGTACACGTGATTTCTCAAAGCAGAATAAAATGAATGCTGTTGAACAATCACCAATTGTACAAATCAAAGAGGTAAATAAAATTATTTTCTAAAACCAAACATTTTAAATTAATCTGGATATATCGGTAATTACATTTAGATTATGGCATTACCTGATCGACTTATCAAACGTACACAAACAAGTCGAATAGATTATGATCTTATATGTCCGCCATCATCACCTAATCAGAATTCAGAAATATCAAATGATTTAACAACGAAAATAAATCCGGAAATTTTTGATGACGGTGATTTTTATCATCAATTATTACGTGAATATATTGAACGTAAAACAGCATCAATTACTGATCCTGAACAAATAAGCAAGTAAGTTAAATATATATCTATAGAATACTTACTTTTCATCTTATTGATGATTAATTTTTATAGACATTGGGCTCAATTAAGAAAATTGCGAACTAAATTGAAAAAGAATCTTGATACCAAAGCAAGTAAAGATCGCAAAATTCGTTATAATATTCATAAAAAATTAGTTAATTATATGGCACCAATTGATAGATGTTCATTTACTGATCAAGCAAAGTAAATAAAAAGAAATTAAATAAAGAAAATACATGTTGTTTGTTTTTTATTTGATTTAGATCCGATCTTTTCTCATCATTATTTGGTAGACATCAATTAACAACAATTGATACACAACAAACATCACCAGTGAATGATATTCGTATCATTTAATACATTGTTTTTTGTTTTGTTTAATTAAACAATAAAAATAACCAAAAAAAACATTTGAAGTTCAACTGTTGAACATAAAAGTCTAATTTCTAAACATTTTGGATACGTTTATCTAAATAATGATGAATTATTATTTGAATAATCTTAAGAGTGTGATTCATCCATGTCCTATACCAGGTATAACTCATTCAAATCTGTAGCCATATCATAGACTTAACTACAATCCGACTTAATAACAATATTATTTCGAGTGAATATCGAAAAAATTTGATAGGTATTTATAGGCATGTAGCGAACCCGAACTCGAACCCGAACCCGGACCCGAGGTCGAACTCGAACCCGAACCGTTCGGGTTCGGTTACATGCCTAGATATATAAGAACAAAAACTTACTTGTCTTTTCTTTTTCTAACAAAAAAAGATTTAGACATTGTCCAGTCAATGATTTAAATTGAAGTAATCGAAAAGATAAGATTTATCAAATGAAACAGGAATTGAGTCGACTTCAGTACTCTCGTAAAGTAATTATACCTTCACTTGATGTTTTAGTAGAGTTCCGTTACGGTACACAAGAAATTGATTAGTCATGTAAATAAAAAAAACATAGATTTCATTCGAGTTGATAAAAATTATTTTAATAGGATTATTGAAATGGTTTATCGGGATTTATTAGATTAATTGATTATCAAAAATAATGTAATTTTAAAGACATTCAATCTTAGCTTTTTTTCTAATCTAATTATCTTTTATTGTTTTTGTTGTATCATTTGAGTATGGTACATATCGAAACAGTCTAATTTATATTTTTAAACCCCCTCGTCAAATGTTCAAACTATTATTTTATTATTGCAAGTAAATTTTGCGAGTATAAAAAAAAAGAGAAATTTTTGACTTAAATGTTTGTAAACAGAAGCCACCAAAACAAAAAAAATTCATTGTACAAACACATACAAAAAATTTTATAAAGCACAATAAGCAACAAAAAGAGATTCTCCCAACTGATTAAACAGTAGAAAAACAAAACCAGATCAAATAGGAATAATATAAATGCACAAATAGGAGTATTACAATAAAAGAAGACAGAAGCTCGCCATGTTTATTATTTATCAATAAAAATTGAGAATAAGAGAAAAACAAAATGTTAAAGATATTTATCTTTAACAACAATTTGATTTCACCGATTTTGTTTGTTGATTTCCATTAGAAAATGCTGAATTTAAACTATCTGATGGACCTATAGTTGATTCTTTTGCTTTCATTGTTAATTCTTCGGCAATTGTTTGAAATAATTTCTCTACATTATCACTATTTTTAGCAGATGTTTCTAAATACCACATATCATTTTTTTCAGCAAATTGTTCTGCAACATGTGTTGGAACTTCACGTTCATTAATGTCACATTTATTACCTAATAGAAAGAAAAAAAAATGATGTTATTATTTATTTTGTACAAAGAAAAAGTCCTTATACGAACCCACAAGTGTACATAAAACATCATTATTTGAATAAGCTTTTACTTCACGAACCCAATCTGGAAGACTTGAAAATGTAGCAAGATTATTTATATCAAATACAATAATCAATGCATTGGCAGATCGATAATATGATTGTGTTATTGAGCGAAAACGTTCTTGCCCAGCTGTATCCCATATTTGAAGCTAAATTATCAATATTATTCAAAAAGAATCATTTATGAATATTCAAACCTTAATTTTTTCTCCATCAACTTCAACAGTTTTAATTAAAAAATCAACACCAATAGTTGCTGCTTGTCCAGCAGGAAAAACATCTTGACAAAATCGACGTACAAGACATGTTTTACCAACACTAGCATTACCAATAAGAACAACTTTAAATAAATATTTATAATCGTCCATTAACATGTTTTCAATAAGAGATAAAAATAATCTATAAAAAAAAAACGATATGAAAAATCAACACATGTATGTATATATATATATATTTCTCTCTTTAAACTGATTTATCATTGAGCAAGAACAAAAAAGAACGAAAAATACAGGTATTTATACAAAAAAAATAATAATATAAATTCTTGAAGACCTGAGATAGAAAATAAAGCAATGAAAAATAGCCAGAGTTTATGTCGATTTATATTTTATTCAATCACTGTTGAAAGACAAATGGTGATTTTGAAGTAAAACGTTGAGAAATACCACGTGAACGACGATTTTGTGTATCACGATCTTTACATCGATGACCACAACCATACGGACATTCATCATGAGTATTAAACCAAGTTCGAATATGATCGATATGACCACCATGAAAACAAACACCACAAAATGAAAATACACCTCGACATGGTATTCGACTAAAATATTAAATGTAAAAGATATCAAGAGGTAGATCATTATAAGACTCATCGATAGTTTTTCAACTCAATATGAATAATTATCCTAAAATTGAAACTAACCAAATCGTACACATAAAATCTTTCGGTGTAGACGAAGGATTTTTAGTTGCTGATGGAATTGTAGATGTTGTTGGACGTTTAAGTGTTGGTGATTGTGCAGCAAGTATAAGTGTACCATCATAATCACTTGAATCATAATTTAATGGAATTTTTTCTTTTTCTAAACAATGTTTTGTTATTTGTTTAGCTTTAACAAATAAACGTAATTTTTGTAATAATTCTAATTCAAATCAATAAAGAATAGTTTTAATAAATAAATAAATATTTTAGAAAAAAGTTACCAATATATATTTTAATCCAATTAAAATGTGCAGCACTAAATAATTGTAAAATTTTACGATCACCAAGTTTTGGATAAAGTGCAAGTAAAAGATGAACTGCTACTTGAAGTTCATTCTATAAAAATATTTCAATAGAGAAGAAGTTTTTTTTTTCGAAAAATAAATTTTACATTTTCAACATAATACCATATTGTTTGTTTTATAACATCATCAAAAATTAATGGATGATTTTGCATTGTTGGACAATAACTTTCATCAATTGTAAAAAATTTATCTGAATCATCTGTTAGCATATGTGGCATTGGTTCAGGCATAGCACTATCAGGACTAGAAATATGAATGAAATTATTAGATTAAATAAGGAATCTCTTCTGATTAGTTTTTACCTATCAAAATCAGGCACAGGTCCAAATTCATTCTCTTTCATCGTCATTATTGCATCATGATATCGATTAGATACTCTATCATATGGAAGACCATTCATATCACTATCACCATTTATTATTGATGGTGTTTCATTTGATGCCATTGGCATTCCATCATGCATAGTATCAATATCATACTATGATAAAAATAAATATCGATACATATATGTATTGTTTTGAACTCATTCTGCATAATAATATTAAGAGGCAATAAAATTTTCAGTTGTCATTTAACAATGATCAATCAATCGAAAAATAATGATTAATACAGAAGGAAATATCTCTAAAGGTTTTATTTGTTATTTTTTACTAACAGAGGAAGGTCTCGAAGTGATGATCCGAGCGAAAGGCTAATATTATGTGGGAGTGCTACACTAAGTGCCCTGATGTAAAGTATAAAACAATTATCGACGAAGGCCAATTTGGTGAAAAATTATAGTCAAAACATTTTTTCGGGATCTTCCCTTGTAAGTTAAATAACTTTCTTATTGCAAAATTAAAATGATATAGTCATTATAAAGAGACTAAACTAGTATGTATAATTATAATTACACGATAAAAAATCTACATAAATTTCGTCAGATTCATTCAAAATCGAATGTAAATATACATCATTCGTTTCCAAGGGTGTAAAAATTTCTTACTTCGTTCTCATATAACATATCATAACCATTCATAATATTTAATGCATCTTCAGGAGTAATAAAGATAATATCATCCGTTAATACATCTCGTACAATATATGTATCAGCATCATCAATCATTTCTAGAAGATGAATGATAATAAAGATTAGAGATGATGCAAAACAAAATTATATATTGATACCCATTTGTGAATTTGGTGGTATTATTTGATCTTGTGATTTAATTCGTTTTCTTCCATTTAATTCTTCATTCGATTCATTATCTTGTTGTTGCATTTCTGTACTATTTGCCATTGAAGCTATGTGTTGAAGATAATTATGATGATGATGATGGTGATGATGATGTCTATGACCACTTAATGAGTCACTTATATGACGATTTTTTGTTGTTGATGGTGTATTTCTCGATGAATGCATTCGATAAGCTTGTAGACCATCACAATCAGCATAAATCATTTTAATTACTTCCCATGTTGCTCTTAAATCTGGTCTTTGCAATTGTTCAGCAACAATACTATTCATATCACATATTTCAATCAATGATTGAGATGATTTATCACCATTTCCAAATGTCCATCCTCTTGCAAATTTATGAAATGATTCAACGGAATTATCGATTGAAGAATTTGCATAAATTCCAACAATAGATTTGCCAGGAATTGTTTTATTCCATTTTAAAAATGTTGACATAATTTCTTCTGAATAACATTTTTTTAGTCCTGTAAATGACGTTGGAATATGATGTTCAGAATATAATGCACGAATATAATCATTATCAATATTTGGCATAGCAGAATAAACATGACCCTTTGATGTAGCATTTAATGAAAATAAAGGTGCAAATTGATCAGTTCTTATTGCACTTGATATATGAGCATGAACTAAGTTCTCATCGCGACTAATTGACAGAAGATTATCAGAATTTGGACGCCATGAAAAATCACCAATTGTATCTAAGCACAAAAAATAAAATCATTATATAAACAATTCCAAGTAATACTTTTATGAGAGGATCTTCTATAGTATCGGAATAATCATAACAGCTAAAAAAAATCTCTAATTCATACTTTGATGATGACAAAAAGATGCATATGGTAGATAAGCACGTCTAACATCCCAAACATGAATACGTGGATCTACTAAGAGTGTTGAACATGCTATATGATAATGACACGATGGACGCCAACTAAGTTTAGACACTGTGCCAAATGATTGAACTTTAAATAAAGGTTCTTGTCGAACATTACTATCTTGTGTATTCCAAACCTTTGAATTTCAAACAAATTTTATTTAATTATACGAAATATTTTGTTTAAACTTCACTCGTATAGTCCGATCTCGACCACCAGTAGCAAGCCAATAAGGTTTATTCATATTCCATGCAAGACATAACGTTCTATCTGCTGTTGTTAATACCATAACAGGTGTTTGAATGCTTCGAATATCCCAAAGCTAATTTATAGAAGAAGAAAAAAAAACTCCCCTGTATTTTCAAAATAAATAAAAAAAACAATTATTTTTACATACTGGTACAATACATTGATCATTTAATGCTGCAGCAAATAAAAATGGATTTTCTGGATTAATTTGTATATCACGAAATCCATCTTCACTAACATGACGAAATGATGCAACAACTTTATTTGTATTATATGTTCGAAAATCAATTAACTATATACATATATGTTTTTGTTTTAAATATTCATACGAATAATGAATTCATTTATCTAACCTTCGCATATCCATCTTGTGATGCTGTTAATAACACTTTCTGATCTAAATATATAATACAAATTGTATAGATACTCTCTTTCTTATTTGAAATTTATACTTGTTGGATGGAATTGAATACGATTTATAGTTGCATTATGAATTTTAACTTGAGCATTCAGTATAGGTTGTTGGATATCCCAAATATTTAAAAGACCAGCTGTACTTGCTGATGCAAAACAAGTCTCTAGAAAAATAATTCATTTGTTTTCTTATTTACAACTAAAACGAAAGTATACTACTTACCATCATGTGGATTCCATGCAATATCTGTTGGTTGTAATGCTGTATTCGACGATCTAAATCCATTACGAAAGTCATGTTCTTTAACGAATTGTTCAGTTCCATCAACTTCTTTAATAGCAAGTAATTGAAAATCTATTTAGTCAAATCAGAAGAAAAAAGAAATAATTATTTTGTATTTTAATGAATATATAAGATATACTTTGTTGTCCTGCTGCTATTACACGATTTCCATTATAATTAGGACGAAGTACAGTTGCACCACCAAGTATACGATATGAAAATGTTGATTGATTAAATAATTCTTAATATAAATTATCAATAGATTGATTATTATATAAAATACAATATTTTTACTTGGTAGTTTTGTTTCATCCATTCATAAATATATATATATGTATATAAATTATCTTATCTAATAAGCAAATAAATTTACCTCATATTAGAAAATGAGAAGAAATAATAAATTTAAAATTGTGCTAGTTTATTTTGAAAATATAACGAAAAATAATAATAATGAGAAAAGTCACTGGATTACAAATACTTGAAGCTAATAACACCGGTGATCATGTTTTTATACTATTAAATAAATACCTAATTATCGTATAAAATTTAAAAAGAATTATGTAATAATGATTGAACTTTTTCATAGGTGATAAATAAAGTTCCAGTTGCAAAAAAAGTACGAATAAGTGTTGGTAATAATCCAGCATATAATGTTGTAAAACCTATTTATATAAGAATATTCATATGAATAAAAAAAGACTAGTCAAAATCGTATTCTTTACCTTCATTTTTAATGACTTGAAGTGTGTAATTCATAATACTCATATTGGGTTTAAATACTTGTATACGTGATTTAATTGCATCAACAGGGAACATAAATATCCAAAAACAAATACCAGCCATACCGCCTGAGATCCATGTTTTAACCAGTCCTATTTTTATGAGAAAACAAAACATATAACAATTTGAATATATAATAGATCATTACCAATATCTTTCTTTTGTTCGTTTTCTTTTGTTAATAAAGATCTTGTTAATTCATATCCACCAAAAAAACATCCATAACCAGGACATTCTCTAGCTAAAGTTGCCGTTAATCCACGATATAATCCTCTTGCGCCTTCGGTGCGTATTATATTTCGTGTTATATCAATTGGCGAACTAAAAATATTTTCACGTATTTATCACAAGACTGTAAAAATAACAAAAGGCAAAAAAAAAAGAAATTTTTATTTACATCGTTTTACGTGTATGCGGCATATCTTTGTTTAGAGTCATTTCATTCATTGTTTGTATTCGACATTTGACTAATTCAGTTGGACATAAAGCTAAAGATGCAAATGCTGCTGCCAAACTTCCAGCTGCCATATTTTCAATTGATGTTAATTCTTCATTGTGATTTTTATTATTTAATAAACAAATCACATTTTGACATTGTCCATATGCCATAAATAAAACTCCATTTTCTGTATAGAAAAAAAAAAAAATTTTTCTTTTCGTTCTCTCAAAATAATTACCAGCAGCATTAGCAAGTAATGATGGTAATGTTCCAGCATATAAACCATGTATACCATCTTTATAAAAAATTTTTTGAGCACAATCAATAAAATTTTTATAACGATTTGGAAATATTTGAAGTTTTGTTTTGATTGTATCTAATGGTTGTCCTATATAAACTGAAGCTGTTGCACCTAAAATTAAATAATTAATGAATTTAATTTAAATAATATAGAAGATTGTACCGGCTATGCCACTTAGAAAATCATATATAGCAGCTGAATTCATGTTTGACAAATAATTAGATTGCGCTAGTAAACATTTACTTAAGAAGATATTTTTATTGGTGAAAAAATTTCCACCAATGAAATATATTTGTTTATTCCTTCCTTCATTCGTATATTCCTCCTTGAATTAGTACGTTTTCTTTGCCTTGAGATCACCTTTTTTTGACATTAGTTAAATAAAAATGTTATTTCGAAAAGATCCGTGCGGAATAATATGTATTATAATGACATATGCAATGCTTTTACATTGTCTGTATGCTGTTTTATTTGTTATTATTATACCATTATTGAATGAAAGGTTTTATATTTAACAAATCTATATATGATTTAACTTTTTGGAATTGATATTCTTTAGTTTATATGGCACATTAAATGCGTTAATCGTGTCTACATTTGTTTTTCTATCGATATTTTCACATGGTCGTGCTGCATATTTTGATCCCGGTTTTGTACCTTTACCAAAAAACGGAATTGATTTTTCCGATGTAAAACCGAATGAAAATAATAAAGTAAATTCAGGTTTCTTTTTTCACAATTTTTTTTCTAATATTTCTTTTTTTTCAGCAGAATGGTGAAGGTTGGACGAGTATGTGTTTGAAAAGGTTTACTCTTTCGAAATGTTAATATATGTGTTATATTTATAGTTTGTAATCGATGTGATACATACAGACCTGCTCGATCTCATCATTGCAGGTAAATGAATCGATAAAAAAAGAGTATTTAAAATAATTTTTGGTTATTTTTTAGAATTTGCAAACGATGTGTTCGAAAGTAAGATTTTCGTTTTATTGAAATTAATTAATTTTTGAAAGGAGAGAAAAAATAAATCCTTCAGAACTAGATAATAGTTTAACTGTTCTTCGGTATATTTTTCCGGATATATCACGTGACAATAGAAAAACAATTAACTATCTTTTTGTAATTAACACTTGATAGGGCAGTACTTTCAAATTATACAGAACTAATTATTTCTTAATAATTAAATATTTCATGGTCTGTTGATTGTTAATATTAATCAACTGTTTAAGTACGTATAATAGAAATAAACTTAGATTATCGTAGAGGAAAACTAACTACTGTACAAAAATGAATCATCAAACTTAATTTCGCTGAGAACATTTTCTTTTCTTTCGTCGAAAAAATAATATAAGAATAGAATGCAATTAAGCCTGAAGGTACGAAAAAAAAAGAATAAAAACTATTGTTTGTATTATATATTTTTATTATTTATTATTCTTATATTTCAGGTTAGATCATCATTGTCCTTGTGAGTAAAATATTTAAGTCTATTTTCTTTTAAAGTAGCTTTATTTATTAGGGATTAATAACTGTGTTGGTGAATTCAATCAAAAATATTTTATTTTATTTCTTTTTTATATCGGTAATAAAAAAAATTTCGAATCGTTTTTTTTATTATTTTGTTCTAATAGGAGTTACTAGTATCTATGTATTATCATTTATACTTTGGTCATTAATTGTTTTTCCGCATAAAACTGATGCTCAAGTGTATGTATGAATCAAATATTTGATTTCTTAGAAATTTAATTATTTTATATATATATATAGAATACATTCCATAATACTTTGTATTGAATCAATTTTATTTGGTTTATTTGTTGTTGCAATTTTTATCGATCAAGTTCAGTCAATAACAAATGATCGAAGTATCATTGATGTATTAAAAGCAGATGAAAATTCTCGTTCATCACCACAAACATTACCACCTGCAAAAGTTTTATTTCGAAAAGTTTTTGGTCCTGGTAAAAATACAAAAACAATGTAGAAAGATAAATTTTCTAAAATAATCTCTTTTATTTCTAGGACCTATGATTTTATGGTTATTACCATGTGATCTAAAGAAATCTAATCAAATAAGTGATTCACAAGACATGTATCATGTGTAGAATATTTAATTATAATTTTTTTTGTTTGGCACATCCATTTCTCATTATATGTAAAAGTGTGATCTCAAATTCGAACAAAATTCTATATTTATTTCCAAACGAGAAATGATTTCTCATAGTCATCAGAATAAAAAAAACTTCAATTTGTTTTTCTTTCTAATTATTAATTAACTGTATAAAATATTCTGTTTTCTTTTTCTGCGTTCTTTTTTAATTAAAAATTTTTTCATAGATTCCTTCAAAAAAAAATGTCCTATTTTGTTTTTAGATGAAATTAACAATTAATAGCAATTAAATCTCATCTATGGCTCAAGCAGCAGCATCTAATTTACGTCGTCGTATTCTTGGTGGTTCAAGACAAGATTCTCCATCAACAATAACAATTCAATCTACAACTACACCAGATCTTCCATCTACATTCAACATAACAATAAATCCTAGTTTATCAACACCACAACATCGTTCAATACCACGTATTGATCGACGTTCAATTGAAAAAGTGTGGAAACAAATGGATCGTATTGTAAAATATTGTCAAATGCCAAAAATGAATTTAAAAAATTCACCACCATATATGCTTGATATTTTACCTGATTTATATCAAACATTACGTGAAATAATTAATAATTATGATGATCGTTTACATATATTAAATGATATTGATTATTTTCGTATATTTATTGATAATCTTATTGAACAATGTACAAAAACAACTGATTGTTTTAAACGTGCTGGTCATCATATGTATGATGAACAATCCACACATCGAAAATATTTAACAAAACTTTCCTTATATTTTTCACATAATTTAGCTGAGTTAAAATCTTTATTTAATAAAGGAATATATGAAGGAGAAAAATTTCGTTTAACTAAACAAGAAGCAACAGATTTTTGGAAAAGTAATTTTAATGAACGGTATGAGGAAACAAAAATGAAATTTTTTCTTATATAATTTCTTTCATTTAGTACAATTGTACCTTGGGAAGAATTTAAAGAGAAATTAAATCGTATTCATCCAATTCATACAATTAATGAAACAACAGCATTGCAAAATACAATTGATTTAACAAATAATAATCATGTATCTATATTTGAATTTGATGTTTTTACAAGGTAAGAAGATTTTGATAATTAATTGAATGGAGAATAGTGACTCCCTTGTGAAATCTTAGTTTATATATTAATTATTTGATAGAAAGAAAGATGCAGTGGGAATTGAGTAGATATAAGGCTAAAGTCCATCGGGTCCATACTTTTTTGGACCCGAACCCGGACCCGCTCAATAAACTTTTTTTAGACTCGAGGCCAGGTCCGAATCCAAGTCGGACCCGATCCTGATGAGCACTAGCCTTAACTCAAACTGTACTTTTAGATTCTCAGCAAATTTTTCAACTTGAAATGTGATAGTTGCTTCGAAAATAGTTTTGTTGTTGTTTTTTCTATTATTTTATAAATAAATTCAGGACTTTTTTAATAAAATGAACAAAAAATTAAAAAAAATATTATGTTGATAACATATTTCTTCCGATCCAGATCCGGTCAGTAAAAGCTTCGATACCCGGACCCGGTTAAAACAAAATTTCCAGACCTGTACTCGATCAGCTCTATATAAGACATTATTGATTATATCTTTCGTTATAATATTTGAATTTTCTTTTTCTTGTAAAATAGATTGTTTCATCCATGGTCTTCATTATTAACAAATTGGAAATTATTAGCTGTAACACATCCAGGTTTTATGGCGTTTATGACATATGATGAAGTGAAAGCAATTCTGACAGATTATATTGATAAACCAGGTAGTTATGTATTTCGATTAAGTTGTACTCGTCTTGGTCAATGGGCTATTGGTTATGTCACAACTCAAAATACAATACTTCAAACCATTCCACAAACAAAACCATTAATTCAATCATTAATTGATGGTGAACGTGAAGGATAGTAAGTAAATATTATTTATTTTAGAAAATATAAAATTAAATCAATACGTATTTAGTTATAAATATCCAAATGGAAAAAATATTCATATTGATCTTTCATCAGCATTAAAACCAGCAGAATCTGATCGTATCTATGTATCAGAAGAACAATATGCTATCTATTGTGATATGGGTACTTGTTTTGAATTATGTAAAATATGTTCAGTTAATAATAAAGATTGTAAAATTCAACCATGTGGACATTTAATTTGTCAAAGTTGTTTAATTGCTTGGCAGGTTCGTTTATTACAAAGATATTTTACTTTTTTTAAAAGAAAACAATTATTTTTAGAATCAAAATAGTGCGAAACCACCTCCATTATGTCCATTTTGTCGCGGTGAAATAAAAGGATTTGAATCAGTTGTTATAAATCCATTTGATAGTGCTGTATTGGTAAATAGAAAAGAATCAAGTCCAAATGGATCAAATGAATTTGATGATGTAAAATAAAATTTTGTTAACTATTCAAATCATAATTAAATATTTTGTATACTATTTTAGCAAACACTAGATGCTAATCCAAATGTTCAAAATTTGCAATCTCTTGCTATTGCTCGTCCAATATATAATGAAACTTCTCATCAAGTAGAAATTATTCATTATTTTATTATAGTTTAATATACATTTTTTATATTTTCATAGACGAATGGTGCTAATATTTCATCGGATACTATGTCTTTCACACCTCCACCTATTCCACCTCGACCTATAAATATTAGAATGAATGGAAATCGTGTACCAAATGATTCAATGTCGAGAAATAATTTTCAACAACGTCTACATCAAACTACATCTCCTCCTGTGCTTCCGCCTTTACATAATAATGATGTTTTGTTGTTACCTCAACGATCGTTTGCGAAAACTCAACAACCACTTTCATCAGCATCTTCTAATGAAAGTCTTAATGATTCACTTGGTAAAATTATTATGAAATTTATCGATTATCAAATATTAATTTTCGACATATTTTCTAGCTTTACTTTCAACTGCATCGACAGATTTAGTACAATCACGTCCTGTTAGTTTACAAAATAGTACTAATCAGCAAACACGATCAATAAATCAAACAGCTAGGTAAATATTCATATCAAGTCTTTTCAAAGTAACTGTTTAGCTATAGACTTCGAAAAACTTAGCATAACAAAGACAGTATACTATTAGAACTGCAATAATGTTCTAAGAGACTACAGTCTAAACATAGTATCAGTTAAAAATTATAATATTTGTTTGATGTTTCGAATTTTCGCTTTTCTCAAATGTTTAAGATTAAGTACTATGTCTGTAGCATTTATAGATGCGTCAACTCGTATTTAGACGTTTTATCCGTAGAAATCAGATTTTTTTCCCTTACAATTGAAACTTTGACACTGTATGATACCATCGGATATGTATTGTCCTTAAACTAACACTCTCTTTTTAGTATAAATAGGGCTGGTAACTATTAACAGTAGATTCTAGTAAATCTCAAATGGTTGTGTTTAACATTTTAAGTTAATATCTAAGAAATAGTATACCAGTCCTGTTTTCCAGTTGTATAACTTTCTTATTAAATGAACGGAAATAAAACTACTTCATTTGTAATTATATCAGTACAGGAAGTCACATACTTCTGAACAATGAGATATTATTATACATCGACTATCGAAAATAGATATGAACATATTAGAACAAGTACTTTACATTGCACGTTATATCCAATCTCATTTTCTTACACTGTATTTTGATTCTTTATTGTGCAACGAGGAAAGATTAACGACTAATTCAGAAAACTATAAGTTTATCTTCGATTTGTTTAATATCTATCTTAACAATAAAACAGATTCGTAAAAATAACTATTTCTTTCTAGTCCTATTTCTGAATCAATAACAAATACTAATGATCAATTTCGTACAACTGATGATATTCGTTTACGTTTAATTGATGAACATCATTTTGAACAAGCTCGTATCGAAGCAGCATTAACTTTAACTCAAGGTTTACCTTTAATGAAGCAATATGAATTAGCAAAATCATTTCTTAATCAAATTCAACAAGAGCAAACATCAAATCATAACAATACATTTATTAATGGATCATTCATAAATGAATTTGACTAAAAAAAAAGCTAAAACCTGTGTTTATATTTTATTTAACTTTAATCGACAGTGAATACAAAATTTATTATGAAATAATTTTGTAGGAAACAGAAAGTCGTTAATACGCTAAAACAGATATTTTTGTTTGTCTTGACTATTAAAATCTTTTTTTTGATACGTAGATCGTGAATTTTTCTTTTTTTTGCTGACATACAGATATGTTTAACAAATGTGTTTTTTTTCTCAATGTATTATGTTGATATGTGCCTTAAATAATTAAATAAATATACGTGTGTTCTAGATCAAAATTGTATAACAAGAAAAATGAAAAGAAGATAATCTAAATAAATGTATTCGAGTATGATCTGTTCATGAGAAGTTGTTCTTATCTAATGTATTGCAACTATGTATTCGAAAATTAAGTCTGAATCATAGATGATACTATCGTAGTCTCTGTTGTATTCGGATTCTATTTAGTACAGGATCATGATATCGAAGAAATATTACATTTCAGTCTAAACGATTTTGATAAAAAAAACTACTGTGTTATGACACATAACTATCGATGTATTTAGACTGAATTGATTAGACTTTATCAAGTAAACTCCTTCTTTCTTCTCAAAATATATTAACAAATAAGCAAGATGTTTTCAAACAAAGTATTCACTCATCTTTCGATTGTTGAAATGAGCTTAGAGAAACGAAAGGAAAGTTCATTATAAATGTATGAAATTGATTTTTGAATGGACTTTAGTGCACAGAGTATTATTAATAATAAAACAGAAATTTATTTCCAACATATCAATGAAGCACTGCGTTGATACTTTTCTACAGAGTGATGTATGAACCATTAGTTTTGAATAATAGATTTTTGTACGATTATCATTTGAAAACAGGCTAATAGAATACTTCAATCGTTTCCATATGTGTTCACTTGAAACGTT